TGAAGTCACAAGTCCACCATGCTCCACACTATCCAGAGCGGTGGCCAGGCATCCCCATTGCTCCACTCACCTGTATCCACCCATCCACCCACCCATCTATCCACCCACCCTTTCATCCACCATCCACCCACCCATCCACCCACCCATTCTTCCTTCTCTAATGGGAATAGGGGACCTGCTTTTACACTACACATCACATTACATATGAAAAAAATGACTCAGATTTCTGATAATGGGGGTGGAGGTAGGGGTAGAAACCACACACCCCTGAAGTGCTGTTTTGCTGGGTTCTGTATTCATGGGGTAAACCTAGACTTTATCTAGGTGCCTTCAGTATAATGAACTTTCTAGATCAAGAATATTTGTAATCAAATATGTTGGCAGTAAGAAAGGTCATTCCAGGAAGATCTTCAAAATCAAAGTAACCAAATAAATAAACGTTTATGCCTTTTTTTATGTCTCCCATCTTCCTAATCAGACTGGGGGTTCCTGGAGGCGGGGACTGTGTCCCCCTCTTGCCCTATCAGACTGGCCGTTCCCCTGACAGGTGGTGTTCCTCCTTTCACCAGCTCTCTCTGCCATCCTCCCATGCTAGACCTGTGAGCTCGGGGAGCTCTGGCTGTGCGTCCTTTATTTCATTCTGTCTCAAATGAGAGGACCCCATGGCTAAGGAGGGGTGTCCTGTGATTCCTGAGGGAACCCCCTTCCTCATCACTCCCGATGCCCCATATGAAGGGAGCACATCACCTGTAATTTCATCGTCTCCACTCAGAGGTCTAACAGACATTTCATGCCTAACAAGTCCAACATGGAAGAGCCAATCTCCCTGCCAAGCTTGCCTACCTCTAGCCTTCCCCATCTCTCTGATGACAACTCTATCCTTCTGGCTGCTGGGGCCCCAAACTCTCCAGTCACCCTTGACTCCTCTCCTTGTCTCACTCCCACGTCCAATCCATCAGCAAACCTTCTCAGTTGCATCTTCAAGATACATTCAGAATCCAACCACTTCTCACCATCTTCACTGTTACCCCCAGGACCAAGCCACCACCATCCTCTCTCGCCTGGGTGACGGGGAAGGGTGTTGCTGCACTGTCTGATTTACCCACACTTTACTTATGTAACTTATCGTCTGCTTCCCCAGAATATAAATTCTGTCAGAGCTGGGCCGGCCGAGTGGCACGATGGTTAAGAACTGGCTTGGGATGCCAGAGGGCCCCGGTTCGGATCCCACATATGAGGGCCAGTGACACTGCCCTCCACAGCTAAGATGCTGAACAACAGCTCAACCTGGAGCTGGGCTGCCATGAGTCACCGGCGACGGCGTAGGCTGTAGCCCCTGTGGCAGTGGGTTGCCATGGGCTACCGTATGTAGCCAGCAGCCAGCGTGAGCGGCCAGCAGCCGCAGTGAGCGGCCGTCCAGAAGCCGGCGACTGATCTGCCTCACCCGGGAAGAGCGCAATGATGGTGCCAACTTGGGCCAGTGAAGCAACGTCCTCCACAACTAGATTGAAGAACAAAAAAAAAACGACAGCAACTAGTCTGTTCCCCTTCCCGCAATTCCCCCAGCACTGTTCCCATCCCCCCAATTCCCCAATAAAAAAATATCTTAAAAAAAAAAATTCTGTCAGAGCAGAGGTGTGGTCTGTTTGGTTCATCCCCATCTACCTTTGTCCCCATGGCCTAAAGGAGTGCCTAACACAGAGCAGGCGCTCAACAAATGCTTGTCAAATGAATGAATAAAATTCCATAAACGCCCCGAGAGCAGGTGGGAGCCAGCACTCGCCAGAGCTCAAAGGAGGGTATTTTCAGAAACGAGTCAGCTCTCCCTAGCACGTTGCTCTGAGCTTCTTCTTAAATGCCCTCCCCACTGGCTGGCCAAGGATGCTCTCCTGGGGTGGTTTCCACCACCTGTGGAATCAGGGTACAAGGGCATGACTCCACCTTTTGGGGTCTAGTATAGTGCTGTGAGTCAGGTGGACCTGGGTGCAAGCTCTGGCTCTACCACTTACTAGCAGTGTGACCTGCAGCCATGATTCTCTTCTTATAAAATGGGGATGCTAGTAATAATTACTGACATTTCTTCTAGTGAATGCTAGGTGCCTAGCGCTGTGCTGAACCTCTCTCTCACACATGGCTCATGTAATCCCCCACATCAATCCAAAGGACAGGTGCTGTGGTTACAACTGTCATCTTACATGGGGGAACAGAGCCACAGAGAGGTGAAATATAATAACTACCCAAGGTCATAAGCTATAAGAGGCAGAGCCGGGATTGGAGCCCAGGCATTCTGATTGTGCTATGTTTTAAATGCTACCTGATATGAGATAAACATATGTGATAAGATCTGCAAACTGCTTAGCCAGCACCTGGCACATAGACAGCGCTTATAAAACTCTGACTTCATTCCAGTGTGGGTTCAGGCGCCAAGAGTTTGTAGAGGCAGAGCTGGGGAAGGGGGACAGGGGATAGTGGGGAGCTTGGTAGTCTTTTGTTGGCAGCTGAAACCCCCCTTCTCTATCCCCTAGAAGAGGCCTTGGCGCCTCTTCCCCTGGCCTCCCGGATTGACTGACCTGAGTAAGAAACATTGGGCATGGAGCCAGGAGGTGGGGACTTGAGCTTAGGCAGGCTAATCAGGTCACAGGGTGAAATTAAAAGGGAGGAGGAAAGCACCGACCCATCAGAACTCACCCTCCTTCCTGTCAACGAGGTGTCCAGGAGAGGAGCTGGACAGACAGGGTGTGCAGAGGTCGCGAGCCAGGGGCCCAGGATGGCTCCCCAGAGAGCTGTTCAGCTGTCCCTGAAGAAGCCCACCTATGCAGTGTGTGTGGTGGGAGCTGAGACATACGTGGATGTTCACAGGTGAGAACTGAGAGACACCCACCTGGCTGCAGAGGGCTGGGCTAGAACAGAGTACCTCGAGACAATGGGGTAGGGCGCCCAGTACCTGTTTTGGTAGCAGAGCTGGTAGAGTTGGCTGTAGAGCCTTGAGGGAGGGACTAGGGTATCAAGTCCACCTCGGGGCTCCTGCTCCTGGTCACCAGCCGTCAGGACTCTGGCCTCAGGCCCCTGGATAAGGGTTCTAGCTCTGAGCCCTGGGGGCCAGCTTGGGGGTCTGGGCTGTCTGTGTTTTTATGTCTGAATGGAATATGTGTGGGGCATCAGGACTGTTGCTCAAGATGGGGAACAGGCCTAGGCGTCCTCCAATTTCTTGCCAACAATTTTCTGAGGTCTTTAGAGGGTTGTGTGGTAACTTGATCTTGGAACCTAACTAGGGTGATAAGAATCAGGAGGGAGTGGTTAGGGGACGATACAGTGAATTAAAAAAGAAAAAGAACTTGCAACAAAATCTGGGGCTTGTGTTTGTGATGATGATGATGGTGGTGGTGACGACGAAGAAGATGATGATGATGGTGATGGTGATAGTGGCGATGACACCTAAGGGCAGCAGAAGCATCAGCTTCTCCTGTTGACCTAAAGCCTCCCTGTCCTGGCTCTGCCCAGGTGGGGGCAGGTCTAGGGACCTGACCCAGCCTCAGTTTCCCCACCTGGCTACTGATGGAGTTAGACCTGTGGATCTCTGGGGGCTTTTTCCAGCTCTGACAGACTAGCTATGGATTCTTGCTGGATCAGATAGGGCTGGTGGGCCTGCAGATGGGGGGCTCAGGGCTGGAGCCCCATCCCAGAGGAGGTGGGGGCCGGGGGCTGTTACAAGGTGGGGATCTGAGCTCCTATCGCCCTCTTGGGTCTCAGTACCTGTGCTCTCTCAGTCTGGTTTATGAACGCCTGGCTTCCACCTGGCCTCAGGTGAGCCTCTGGCCTAGAAGCCCGCCCTGCCCCTCTCTCAAGCAGTGGCCTAGAGCTCCAGTGACAGGGCTGAGAAAGAACAGCCAGGAGCCCGGGAGGTCAGACTTTGGCTGTAAGTCATGCTGGGGGCCCTGGGGTGGGGCTGTTTCTCTCAGAACTAGGTGGCCAGCAGAGATCCTATTTTCTCTTGCCCCTTTTTAAAAAAAATAATTAAAAAAAATTTTCTATTACAGTTGACATACAATATTATATTAGTTTCAGGAGTACAACATAGTAATTAGGCATTTATATAACTTACGAAGCGATCACCCCAGTAGTCTAGTACCCATCTGAGGCCACACATAGTTATTACAATATTATTGACTATATTTCCTGTGCTGTACTCTACACCCCTGTCTGCTGCCTTTTTCACATCAGTGTTGCCAGACTTAGCAAATGAAAATACAGGACTCTCAGTTAGGTTTGCATTTCAGATAAACAGTAAATAAATTTTTTTTAGTACAGTAGCTCCTCCTTATCCGTGGTTTCACTTTCCACGGTGTCAGTCACCTCTGGTCAACCATGGTCCAAAAATGCAAATTGGAAAATTCTAAAATAAACCATTCATAAGTTTTAAACTGTGCACTGCTGTGAGGAGCGCGATGAGACCTCTAGCCATCCCGTTCCATCCCTCCTCCTGGGCCGTAAATCATCGCTTTGTCTAGCATATCCACCTCACTGCATGTCATCACATAGGCATTTTGTCACTTGACATCATCACAAGAAATAGAAGGGTTAGTGCAGTACAATAAGATATTTTGAGAGGCCACAGTCACATCACTTTGATTACGGTATCTTATTATAATTGTTCTCTTTTATTATTAATTATTGTTGTTAATCTCTTACTGTGCCTAATTTATAAATTAAACTTAGGTATGTATGTATAGGAAAAAGCATAGTATATATAAGTACTATCCATGGTTTTGGGGCATCCACTGGGGGGCTTGGGATGTATCTCCTGCGAATAAAGGGACATGTTGCATGAGACAGAATTGTATTTTTTAAAAATCTGCTGTTTAGCTAAAATTCAAATTTAGCTAGCCGTCCTGCACTTTATCTGGCAACCCTGCTTTAACAGCAAGAGCAGGGAAGAGGTCTCTAGCGGGCCCCCAGCTTTCTGGTTCCAGAACCCTGTTCTTATCCCCAGGGGGTGGGTGCTCCTGGAAGGTACTTTCAGAACCTCAGGCCCTTCGTGGTGCTGCTAAGGTCAGAAGCCAGGAAACCTCGGTACTGGTCCAGCTCTGCTGCTGACCTTCTGCCTGGCCTGGGCCGAGTCATCGGCCCTCTCTGAGCCCCGACAATAGGAGCTGAGTCCCCTCTCCAGTTCAGTGTGGAGGCGAAGTGGCCTGACTCTGGAACTGGACAGACTTGGGTTCTTATCCTACTTCCATTTGTGGCTGCGTGACCCTGGGCAAGCGGCTTCACTTCTCTGAGCCTCGGTTTCCTCATCTGACAAATGGGGAAACATTAGTACAGACCTTAATGGGTTAGGGGGAGGATAAATGAGACATGCGTGTATAGCGCTTCCTGCATGGTTGGTGCCCTGGGAGTGGGAGGCGCTCACAGCAACGATGGCTCTGTGGGTTTCCTCTTCTCTAATATCTGTTGTTCTCACCATGCCTCAGAAGGTGGAAGGAGCAGAGGACAGATCAGGGAACATAGGACGATGCTGACTGTAAATCTCCTTTGGGATCACCAAGCACCTTAGCATCCCCAAATGCGGGCCCCTGCACAGCTGCGGGGCAGAAGGAAGCGGCCTGCCTGTTCGTAGCTGTTGTGCTCTGGTTGACTCTGGGAGAGGGTGCTGCTTAGGGGTCCTGAGTGAGCACTTTGAGAGGCTGCTATCCAAGAGCCCTTCGGATGGTGAGTAGGGTCATAGTCACTGAGAGTCTTTAAACGACAAAACAGAAGTTTATTCTGTAGCAGATTGGTTTAGAAGTAGACCTAAAGAAGAACGCTTGCCAGCGAAGTCTGCCATAGGTACAAAAAAGGGGGACGTGGTATTGCCAAGACAGGTGGGAGAAGGGGCGTGACACTGTCAACTCAGAAAGGTTTTTTTTTTTAAAAGATTTTATTGGGGAATTGGGGGAGGGGAACAGCGTTGCCCCACTGCAGCCTATGCCGTTGTCAGCAACTCACCGCAGCCCTGCTCCAGGTTGAGCTGTTGTTCACCATCTTAGCTGCAGCATCACTGGCCCTCATGTGGGATCCGAACTGGGGCTCTGATGCTCAGAGCTGGAGTCCCAAGCCAACTCTTAACCAAGGTGCCACTCAGCCGGCCCCAGAAATGTTTTAAGAGGAGCCTGAAGCTCATCCAGGGACTGGACTGGCCAGGAGGAAGGGGCTACACTTGATAATGAACTTGGGGCTCCCCAACCCCATTCCTAGGTGCCTTGCCAGCTCTGGTCAAGCAAGGGGTTTCTATTTAGGCTTGCTAGTAGAAGGGGAGAAGCCCCTTGGAAGAGGAGGTGTGCCAGTCACCTGAGCTGCCCAGAGTCTGAGTCCTCCAGGAAAGCCAGTGGAGATGTGTGTGGGGGGGTGACATCATGGGAAGTGATTAATTTCTCTAGGTGCTGTGTGGACTGATTATTTGGAGAAATATTTGTGTTTGCGGTAATTGTATGCCCCGGGGTATCCCAGCCCAAGGAACCCTTAGAGATTTCTTGCCTCAGCATGTGCTGTAGATCCTACCCCCTCATTGCAGCGGACTATTTCACCATCCTGATCCCCTCACCCCAATGGGCTAGCTCATCACACCCTGTCCCCCTTCACCCCAGCAGGCTTGCTCACCACCCTGACCCCTTGGGCCTAGCCAGATGACCCTAGCTGTCCCTGTCCTTGCTTGAAGGTGGTTCCCAGAGGACTCATGCCAAAAAAGAGGGGCTGGGCAGTGTGGGGAATCCATTAGGGGTCCAGCATGGTCCTCCTTGTCTGCCAGAGGCCAGAGCCAGAGCCCAGGCTGGAGGCCATAATGAACGTTTTATTCTTAGAGAATGGAGGAGAAGGCGGACTGGGCGGGCGATGGGGACATTCTCCAGGATTTTTCCCAAACCTCCCCCAGCCCTGCCAAAGCATCAAAGCAAAAGAGACCCTTTGGATCTCTATCGCTGGAATTCCAGGAACACAGGGAGGAGGGTCTGTGTAGGGCCTCTCAGATGAGTCAGAGAGAGGATCCAGGCCACTTCCTCTTTATGAGGTTCCCTGTATTTCAACAAAAGAAAATGCCAAAACAGAGTTATCAAACTTCTGGTAAATAGCTTCTTAGTGTTTACATTGAGTAAATTAATGCTTTTAACGTGCACAGAAGTAGCGTGAGGCATAATTGTGCTTCTCATGTGGTAATTATAAGACTGATGCCAGCGCCAGTCACGGTGACTGACGGGTCTTGACAGCCAGGCGGGGACACAGATTTAGCGCCAGGTGAGGACCTTCTCTCCTTCTTGCTCCGTCCTGTTGCTACATTGCATTCCTTCACCAGAAGTAATGTTAAAGTTTCAACTTGACGGTTCTTAGCGAGGCCTGGCTCCCTCACGACTTCCACGGGACCACGAGAGGCCCGAGAGCTATAGGCTGTGGACACGGAATGGCCGAGTGTGTGTGTTCTTGAAATGTAAAATATCGGCATCAGGGATGGCTTCCGAGGCCAGCCACCCCTTCATTCTACAGATGTCCTTGTCGCCACCTGCGTTTTTCAGACCGCCGGGAGATCTCTTCTACCAGTCACGCTTTCCTCCCCTTTTCTGCCCATAACCCCTCCCTTGTGCCCCATCTCCTACTCTTATGTCCAGTCTTGGTATCTCCTCTGATTCTTTACTTTCTCCTCTTCCCTTCCCAGCGCCCGTCCCTTCCAACCCCTCACTCGCTCTCTCTCCTCCCCAGACCCCACCCTTCCGCTCTCAGTACGCTGGGGCCCACCAGGTAAACCTACTCTCCTGAGCCAGTGGACCCTGAGAGAAGCTTCCAGAGGCAAGGAATGGGGGCAGGGGTCTTTCACTCGTGGTGGAGCTCCCTCCTCA